TGTGTATACTCTGAAAGCTGAAGAGAGAATACAGACAGCATCTCATGGCAGATGTTTTCACAGTGCAAGTACATCTCAGTGACAGTGTCCACTCCTGTTTCTAAAAGGGCAGAAGGAGTGGGAGGCTCGTATTGAAGGATTAGTATTAGCTACAGCTTGAATGGGGCTGACCAATATTTTTTCAGCTCATTTCTGTGTCTATTTCTGCAATACTTGCTTTTCTGCTGGTTTAGGCTATGAGATTCTTTCTTTTTGTGGTACTGGGGCTTTTTTTTTCTTATTTAAGTGTAAGCAATTAGCTGTAGGAATGTACGATCCACCAAGGCTTTATTTTATAAAGTATGAATTATGCATACTGTGCCAAGAGTCTGTTTATCTTTTTGCTTCCAGAAAAGAGCCTAACTAAATTTATGAATCCTGATTTCACATTTAACATTGTGGTGTTTTGACTGTTTCTGGTTTTCGATCTTGGGTTTTTTTTTCTGACGTGTAGTCTGCTTCCTGCACTAGCGAACTGAGCTCAATCACACACAGTCCAGCGAGAACATCCTTTGGAGCAGCACAATGGCTGACAGCAGTGAAGATCTTGGCACTGCTACTCCTAATGGATATAAAATGTAGGGAATAAAAATAATCAGAGCATGTCTCCTGAAGCGAGTGATCACATCTCTGCAGGCAAGTGTCAGAACCCCAAGGAGGTACCTCAGGGTCACTGGGCACAGATCCAAGGGCCCTGGGGACCACAGCTCTCACTTCTCCCTTGGTCCCAGCTCATAGGAATCCAGCTCTGGCCAGCACTGGGATCATTAACCCTGGTTTACGAATGAGAAGACCGAGGTAAACACAGTGGTGGTCATCCCTTGCCCCAAGGACAGGGACAGGCTGGGAATTTGTGTCTTGCACACTCCTGCCCCACGCCATGGCTGCAGGCAGCCCGTGAGCTCCCTGCTTCCCAGGTATCCATCTCCTGCCGCAAACCATCCAGACTGATGGAACTGCAGTGCAAAAGCCAGAGGAACTCCTTTGCAGGAGCCCGAGGCAGCTCATCGCTGCTGAACCTCTGCCACATCCAGCGCCTGACCCAGGGCCCGAGAGCGTCAGTCTGTCACTTCAGTCGTGAATTGCTAAACACATTCTCCTGCTGCGGGCTCACGGTGTGCTCTGGCCGGGGGACTCTACTCCTGCAGCTGCACTGGGAAGGAGCAGGAAAAACACTTAGCTGGAATCGTGTTTATTAAGCAAATTAATAGGCTGCGAGAAAACTAGCCGCTCTGTGGGCACGCTTTCTTCTCGGCTCCTGCAGGGGCTGGAACCTGAGGCAGGAGCTGGGCAGGTGGTGGCCGCTCGACGGTGCACCCCCATCCGCTCTCCCAAAGATCTTCGCTTTCTCTGCTGGGGAGCAAGCTGCGGGAGAGCGACGGCTGGGGCCGGCGCCTTCAGCTTCGGTCTCCCCCACTGCACCTCAAGTACCGGTGTGCCACCGGTGTGGGTGTCCATGGGGCCCGACGGGGCTGAGGGAGCTTCGGGAAGGTGGAGGCGGACGGGACCGCTGCCGAAGCAGTTGAGACAGCGGCTCCCCAGCGGTCGCTGCCCTCCAGGGGCTAGGGAAGGCGGGGAAGAGGTTCCGTAGGTCAGGGATGCTCCCGGTGCGAGTAGCCACGGGGAAGCACGAACTCACGCATTCATCCCCCGGGGCGCAGTAAAGGGAGGGGAAACGGCGGATCTGCGGCAAAAAAAACCCTTAAAGTATCCCAGCTTCGCCTCGGGCAGATCCGAGCCGTCCAGCAGCGGGGAAGGACCCTGCGAGGCAGCCGCCGAGAAAGCAGCCCGGCGGGGGGAGCTCCGGGGCTGGGGAGGCCGGGAGGTGGCCGGGGTTGGGGGGCATAAGCCGGGGCGAGGGGGGAAGAGAGTGCATATGCAGCGCGCAGCTCCGCGCTCAGGTATCCGCGACCCCGCCATGGAGGCAGCCATGGAGGACGCCGACTATGGGGGTAAAGCGGGGGGTGTGTTCTGTCTCTGTGCTGCGGGCTCCGTGCCGGGACACACACACGACAACCCGCTTTCCGCCCCGCGGGCTAGGGGTGGAAGTTACACGGAAACTCTGCCGGGGCCGCGGGGCAGCAGCTCCCTTTGTACAGCGCTGGAGGAGCAGAGGCGACAACCCGGACAGGTTGCTGGAGTCTCATTAAGGATACAAGATACGTGTATGTTTAAATAATTTTTAGAGGAAGAGGGATGTAACTAATTAGGATCCCCACGCTCTCTTTTAATTGCTGCCAAATAGGAAAAATCCTGGATGTGACAAGAGGCTCGGCAGTGGCTCTGTCTCTCTCCGGAAAGCGTGCTCACACCTCGGGGGGATTTGTGGGCCCCCATGGGAACCTGCGTCCTCGTAAAAAAGAGGGGTGTGCGGAGAACTGAGCCCCCAGGAAGCAAGAAACCCTCTTTCATGGGAAACAGGGGATGTCCCCAAAGTGAGGGCACCTTTTTTATGTGTTTATTTATTTAACAAGTAAATAAAGCTGCCACCTGCCAGGAGCTGCCTCCCCGACTGCTCGGTTCCTGAAGAGCCCTGACCCGTGGTCCCTAAGGGAACCCCCAGGGAAGCGCCCGGTCCCTGCAGCAGCCCTGGCTGCCGGTGCCTTTCAGGTCCCTGGAAAAGGAGGGCTCCACGGGGTGGGGTGGGGGGGCACGGCCGGCGAGCTTTGCCGGTGGCCCCTGTCAGCCCCTTGCTCCGCTGGCTTGCGCCATCAACGGGGAGGGTGGGGGGCAGAAGCCGCTTTTCGGCGAGAGAGCGCGGCTCCAAAGGCGCTAATGCCAACTCCCCGTTCACCCTGCAGGACACGCCGCTGAGCTGCCCGGGTGCCGGGCGTTTGTTTCATCAGCGCATCCCTCGGGAGCACCCGCGGCAGGAGCCGCGCTCGGCCCTGGGGCGGCATCACCTGCGCGGAGGAGCCGGGCGCGGAGGACCCTGCTCCCCGCCGGGCACCCCACGGGAGGCGGCAGGCAGAGCCAGGGCCTGCCCGTGCCCTGCTGTCTGCTTACTGCGGAGCCCCGAGCCCTGTGCCTATCCCCGGCAGCTGCCGCTGCTGCGAGCGGAGACCGAGGAGCAAGTGGATGCACGGGAAAGTTTGTCTCAAACTTGCCGTGTTTAGCGTCTCCTCTGCTCTCTCGGATTGTTTTCTAAGAAGCCAAGTGCTTGTTTTGGTCGCCTTATTTAGATAATTTCTTATAAATCCCTCATCATCTTCCATGCCTTTATTTACAAATATTATTTACATACACACAGCAAATAATAAGAAAGTGGATTCATCTCCGTGATTCTGGCCACCAAAGGAAGCAAACCGAAGGTGTTCAGACCTTGACAATTCTAAAGAGTGAGAAAATCATGGTCCCCTCTTTGGGTGACATTTCTGAGCAGAAAGAAAACTTGATTTCTAAAGTTCTAATAAAAATGACCAACATTGCTACAATACAGGGACTTTTCGGGAGGAAGAGGAGCTGATCTCAAATCTGGGAAGCTCGACGGTTCCCTTCCTCGTTTCTTTCTAAATCCATCTTGTCCCTTTAATACAAATGAACTTTAAGCTCCCCCTGTCTTTTATTATTTAGATTCCCAGTCTTAATGACGCCAGGAGCAGCGCAAGCACACTCGCTAATAATCGTCACGAACTGCATTTCAAAGAAACATCCCTGGAAGAAAAACACCATCGGGGGGGGGGGAATAAATAGAGACTCCGCCAAAAATGATAATGCGGAGTCCCTGATGATGATGATGGGCTTAATGCAGCTGCTGCAAATCAGCACCTGCGTGCTAGATAAGGCAGATAACACCTACCCCAGCACCCCCATCCTCCTCGGGTTTAGTTTTAGATCATTCATTTCGTTGGATGGAGGGTTTTTTTTGTTTGTTTGTTTGTTTTGTTGTTGTTTTGTTTTCGTGGTTTTGTTGTTTTTTTTTTTTTTTGCTTTAATTATTATTCCTGTGTGGGTGTTTTTTTTTTTTTAAATTATTGTTATTTTTCTACTTTCTTTACTTTTTTAGTTCCCTGATCTTTAGGGAAAAAAGGGGAAGTGTGAACAGGTTTAAACCCGAAGACATGGATCTATCTGCGGCCTTTAATAACAGCTCTGGGGCGGCTGGTCCCGGCGCTGATAGCCCAGATCTCCGCGGCCAGCCCAGTCCCCGGGTCAGCTTTTGTCCCTGCCATAAAAAAACAACCACTTGCTCCTCTCATGTAAATGAGCAGCGATCCGGATGCACTTTAAAACACTGGGAGAAGTCGTTGCTGTTGAAAACGATGTTCATTTTGTCTGACACCATAACTGCATAGATCAAATGGCTGCAGAAAGGTAGCAATTTGGCAGGGAAGTATTTTCAAAGCTTAAATGAAAGTGAGCTCCCGGCGTCCGAAAATGTCTGTCTCACCTCCCACCTGCTTCCCCAGCCCCGAGTGAGAGCGAAAAGATTAGACGGGCATCATTTTCGTTAGGAGAAACATAAAAATAATAAAGATGCGAGGAACCGGTGGCACCATTCGCGCAGCCCCGAATCGAGGACGCTGAATCAGTGCTGCTTTACCTACCGGGGATCCAGCACAACTGCAATAATCTTGTCGGATAATTAAGTAAATTATACCTTAAACATCGGTAGCTTACAAGTTGTAATCAGTAATTCAAACTCTTGGCAATTATGCAGATTGGGCTCAGGCTGGCGCTCGGACCTTTTCGCTTTTGCAAGGAGGACTTTTGGGGAGTTTATTTCGCTCAGAAGCCTCCGAGCGGGGGGGGGGGGGGAAGACGACGACGACGACTTGGGAGCTGCGCCTCCCCACGCCGACCTCTGCAAAGTCCTTCTATGCGTGGAGGTGGAAATACAACCCCCCCCCCCCCCCCCAACACACAACTAATCCAACACGTGGTGAACTTTAGGGGGCAGTCTCTTTGCAGGGGGGTGTTAGGGGGTGTTCACGCGTGACTCCTCTTTGCGGGTCAGGGCTGCACAAGAAGCGCTCCGGGGGCACTGAGGGGTGTCCAGTTCCGACTCCGCGCTGCCTCCTCACTCCTCCGCGGGCGCGGAGAGCAACGCGGAAGGAGTGGCTTGAAGCTGCGCGCTCTCTCCTGAATGGCTGGCGGCCGCGGCTCCCGAGCCATCCCTGGGGAGGAGTTATGATAATCCTATTGCCATTAAGGGCGTCTGGGCAGGGAAAAAAACCCGAGTGACCATAAACGCGGAGGTTTAGTCCATCATCTGCCTTCATGCCTGCCAACTGAGCTCCGTCCGGGGGGCAGCTCCTCTTCCCCAGCGCCGACGTGGATTTACCGCCCGTGGGGGGGGGCTGAGCTCTCGTCTGTTTTCGGTACCACACACCTGGTTTGGACGCTGGACGCCATGTTGTGGAAGCTAGCAGATAATGTCAAGTATGAAGAGGACTGCGAGGTGAGAACTATGGGGAGGGGCGGCACTAAGGAAGGGGGTCCGGCCTGGGGCAGCGCGGAGGTCCGCCGCCCCCCCACCATCCATCCCCTTCTGTTCCGGCTATCCCGCCGTCCCCCCGAGCGGGGCTTGACCCTTCCCGAGGAATCCCGGTTTGCGTTTTCATGTTTTCCTTCAGAGAGGCGAATTCTACTTTTCTAATTTTTGAACTCTGAAACAAAACGGGGTGAAAGCCCCGCCTGGCAGAAGGGAGCTCCCCTCCCGCATCCCCCACCGGCCCGGCGGAGCTGCGCCTTCCGGGCTCGGAGTGTCCCCTTTGAGCGGTCTAGGGGCACAAGCAGAGGGGCAGGAGGCAGCGGCAGGGGCACCGGTGCCTGTAGCCCCCAGACGTGCTGGCGGAGCGCGGGACCGAGACCCCCCAAAATCCTCATCCCGTTGGCCCGGTCCGGATAGGCGAGTGCGGGGCAGCCGGCCCGCAGGTAGCCGCTGTGGCGGGGCTGAGCCCTGCGCCGTTCTTCCTTCCCACGCTCCCCTCCGCGGGAGCGTTTCCCACTCCAGTGAGGCGTTCCCCGCCCGGGTTTTGATCTCTTCGAAAGCGGCCGTGGTTCTGGTCCGCCTGCTTGGCTCCTACAGATTAGCTGCAGTTCCCGCTTCACGCTCCATTGGGACCCCATTCACCTCTTACTAACTAGCCCTGTTATTTTAATGACCGTGAAGCCAGAAGCTGCTAAATCCCTGGATCAGTTCAATGTAGACATTTCAGCTCCTGACTGCTGAGATTTGGAATCGGGGGAGAAGCGGAGACGGGACGGCTGGAATGGGACACCGCCTTCCCCTCCCGCTGCCCTTTCCGAGCGGCTCCCGGGGCCTCGGGCGAGCCGGGGGGGACGACACGGTACTGGGGCCTTCTCCCCAAGGGCGGCGGGTCCGCAGCTCCCGGCCCCGGAGTCTCCTCCCCAGCCGGGGCAGACCGGCGGAAATCGGGCAGCGTCTCTGATTTGAATTTGTCTTATTTTAATGATCCTCCCAATGACTTGCACAAGCGTGAGGGTTAGTCTGCTGTAGTCGCGGTGAGGATAGCACACAGAACTGGTTTGTAATCTCTTCCTGGGAGTGGGGCTGACTTATTTCGCGATGTGCCTTAAAAAGAGAAGGCTCCTGGGCAGGAGCTGGGCTGCTCTTCGCTTCTCTCCTCTCCTTCCCCGGGACCGGCAAGTGCCTCCCCCTGGATCCGGGCCGCTGCCCGTCAGCCCCCCAGCTGACGGCCGGCTCCGCTCTCCCCCATCCCTCTGTGCTTTCCAGGACCGTCATGATGGGAGCAGCAACGGGAACCCGCGGCTTCCGCACCTCTCTGCGGTCAGCCAACACCTGTACAGCCCGGCTCCGCCGCTCTCCCACTCGGGCGCCTCCGACTTCCAGCCCCCTTACTTCCCCCCGCCGTACCAGCCGCTGCCTTACTCCCAGTCCAGCGACCCTTACTCCCACCTCGGGGACCCCTTCTCCATCAACCCGCTGCACCAGCCGCCGCCGCCGCCCCCCAGCCAGCAGCAAAGCCCTTGGCCCAGCCGGCAGAGCCAGGACCCTCCCGGCCTCGCCCCCCACGGCCGCCCCGGCCTCGTCCCGCACCTCTCGGCGCTGGAGAGCGGCTCCGCCGGCGCCCGCAGGGAAACGTACCGCCGCTCCGAGCTGCTCCTGCCCCACGGGCACGGGCTGGATGCTTCCGCACTGGCCGATAACCTGGGCCTGCACGACATGGCTCACCAGATGGAGGAGGTGCAGGTAAGGGTTCTGTATCCCCCTCCACCCCGCGGGATGCCCGGACGCCCTGCGGCGGAGCAGGGCACCGTCCTCTTCTGCGCCTTCGCCTGCCCTGTCCCCGTCCTTGGAGCGAAACCCGCCTTTTCTCCTCGTCTGCTCTGAAAATGGGGACGCGTGGGGTGGGGGTGTCCCCCGAAAGCCCCCGTCTCCTTTTTCTCAGCTGTTCAAGGTGCGAAACTTTCTCCCCTTTCTCTTTCCAGAACGTGGAAGATCAACACTTACTAATGCATGACCAGACAGTCATTAGAAAAGGTCAGTAAGGTGGCACTGCAGTTTACTTTCCCTTGTCAATAGTTAAAAAGTTTAATGACGCACCTGTGAATTGACGCCTTATTATCTTTCAAAAGACAAATCCTTTCGGATCGGGAGGGAGAAGTTTTTATTGCGCTTTCGCAGTCGCTGGATTTTTCTGTCTAACGCCATCCGAGGGAAGCGCCGGTGGGGACAAACCCTGGGCAGGGGGACCCCGGTCTTCCCCCTCGGAATAGCCCCTGCCCTTGTATGCGGCCTTAATCGAAACCAGAACCTTGGATCAAATGTAATGCTGCCCTGGAGTACGCATGTAAAGGGACACTGGGCTGACTTTTGAGTTATTTTGGTTTTGGTTGGGCTCTTTTTGTTGTAGCACTCGAAGACGGCTTTTTTGTTTTTGTTATTGTTTTTCCTTCAACTTCTTCACAAGACTGAAGAAGGCAACGAGATCGCTGGCATAAGCCTCCTCGGTTTTACCTTAATCGAAATTGCTTTGTAGCTGAGGTTTTAAGGAAGGAGAAAGATGCATTGACTCGATTTACAGCCATTTAGAGTTTTTTTCTTTTCTTTTTTCTTTTTTTCCTTTCCTGCTTTTGTTTTTAAACAAATTTGTGCTTAAAAAAAAAATAAATCGGTGGAAGTTTCCTGTGAAGACTTCAAACAAAAACCTGGCTGAGGAAAAGCAGAAGTGTTTGTCAGAGCGCTGATTGCTGCCTTTAGCTCATGGGAGAATAATTTCGTTGTCAGATGCACCACTGAAAAATCTTTCCCCCTCCGGGGAGCAGGGCCGACCTCGGCTCTTTAACCCTTTCCGATCGGTGCTGCCGCCAGGTTAACGGGTGAATACACCCGGGATGGAAAGCCTGGATGTGTGGCTGACAGTGTTGCCAAGCCTTTTTGGTCCCTGTTTACTTAAAGGCTGAAGCCGTTAAGGAGCAACGTTTTACTTTCAGTTCTCCTCTGGGCTCCATCCCTCTCTCCGCCGTGTTGTCTGTTACGAATTTGTTTGGATTAAATTCCAAAGGCAGTTTCTTACATCTGCGTGCGCGTGGTGGAAGGTGAAGCCCAGCAGGAGCTGGAAGGCTTCTCTCTGCTCCAGCTCAAAAGGGTTTTTGGCAGCAGTGAAGGATGCTGATTTGGAGTCTGTAGTTGAATCGGGCTTTCTATGAGCATGCGTTTGCTAACTTGCAGCGTGCTGCTCCAGAGACGTGGGGATTTGTGCGTTTTTTGAAAGTGTCCTTAGTTGCATTCGGCAGCTCCTTGAAATTTAGTGTGGCAAAATACAGCTGCTTAGGATTAGTTGAGGGGACTTTTTGGCTGCAGCAGAGCCCTGTGCTGCAGATAAATGCTGGGGATGGGGGGGGGCAGTGGTGTGTGCATTTAGCACAGAACGAAATCTCTCTCCTGGTCTTCTTTTGTAGAAAGGAAATTCACTTTCCCCTTCCTATTTCTCCCTTTTATAAAATACCTGTTTTCCCTTCTCGTCCCACAGGTCCCATTTCCTTAACGAAAAACAGTGCTCTGAGTCTTCCCTGCCAAAAGGATGGACTAATTGGAGTGGTCATAAACCCCAATGAAGTATTTTGTTCGGTTCCGGGCAGACTTTCCCTCCTGAGCTCCACATCGAAATACAAAGTGACAGTAGCAGAGGTGCAGAGGCGGCTCTCACCCCCCGAATGCCTCAATGCCTCTTTGCTGGGAGGAGTACTCCGAAGGTAGGTAGGCTCCCACTCCTCTCCCAGCCGTCCCCATCCTGTCTATTGTCTGTGATTTTTCCTTGTGCTTGTGTGAGCAGCCGGATTAGCATAACGAGGAGCTCAGAAAGCCTTGTAGTGAATTTCTGATTTTTAAGAAGCCCAGCAACACTGAATCCTAATGGGCTTTGGAAATAAAACTTCTTTGCACTTCTGCTACTTCTCGAGAAGTGCTATTAACAGCTCTGACAGCAATTCTTGTTCTCTGTTTAAAGTTGAATTTTTGTCTCAAAAATGGCTCATGGAGCTTTCTTATTCCTGTGACAAACTTATTCCCCATGGAATGATTTTTGGATTAAATCTCCTGGTCTTGACTAATCATTACAAGGACACTTTGTATGTCCTTTTTTGCATACACTTAATTTGGCTTGTAATCGTTCTACAGCTGTTTGCTTTGGTGCAGTTAGAAGCATTTTGATTTTGACCTCTGCTGTATTTCATCCTGGCTGGTTTGTCATAGGGCATTTAAAAACTAGGTCACTTAAAAAGAGCATAGTCTTTATTCCCTCCCAAGTAGAACCCTATTGAATGTCAGTAACTGGAATTTCTCATCTTTAAAAAGAAGTGTTCCCTGAAGATAAATAAGGACTTTTTTTTTTTCCTCTTTAATTACAGAGCTAAATCTAAAAACGGTGGCAGATCATTAAGGGAAAAACTGGATAAAATTGGCTTGAATCTTCCTGCTGGTAGAAGGAAAGCTGCAAATGTGACACTATTGACATCTTTGGTGGAAGGTCAGTCTTGAATGTGTCTTAAAAATAATTTTTTTTCCCTTGTGTACAGCTTTTATCCTGTAGGCAAAGCATAGAAAGGCTAGGAAGTCGATGAGCATAATAAATAGAGAGGGTTTCGTTTGTTTTAAAGGGAGTACAATGGAGACTCTGCAGCAACTAACAGCTGGTGTTGCCTTTGAGAGGTTCCTCTCCCCTTCTTCTCCGTTCAAATTTGGTTGCTATGCCCTTGGCCGCAGAGCCCTACCTCCACAAACCCAGCTGGTGCTCCTCTTCCTCATGGCTGCATCACAGGGATGCTGGCAGGGATGCAGTAACTCCTACATGCCAGGACATTCAAAATGCATCCCTGTGCAGTCTATTTCTTGAGGCTGGGGGGGGGGGTTGGTTATTTCAGGGTTTGTGGGCAGGGACAGGCAAAAGGGGTGAAACTCATCACATTAGTGGGTTTAGTTCCTTACTGAGAAACTGTAAAAATCTGGGCAGCTGACTCTAGCACCTAGCCCTACCTCAGAGGTGTCCTCAGCAGCTTTTCTAATAAACAAGCATATAAAGTGAGATTTATAGCTTCTGACTTCCTGATAAGAAACTGGAGCCCCTTTAATCTGTAACATGTTGTATGAACCCTCTATCAGCTAAGCTGACTTGAAGGCTGTATATGTATGTGTGTGGTTGTTTTATGTTCCTGTTTAAAGCAGCTCCTGGTAGTGGTACAATTTAATAGGAATGGAAGCAGCAATTGAAAAGTTGAATTATCATCTAATACCTTACTGCTATTTCACTTTAGCTAAGATAATATAGCAGTTTCCATTTAAAAACTTTGGAAGTTGGGTTTAAGAGAGCTTATGCATGTGCATGTGTACGCACATACCTTACAGGTAATGCACTGGTCATGGCAATCTATTCTTTTAAGCCTGATTACACTACCTTAATGGAAAAAAAAAAGTGCTCTAATTACACCAGTTTCAGTTCATATTCTGTATGAAAATGCTTATCAGTGTTCAGAAAAGATTCTAGACTGGTAAATCTTTTATTATGTAAATGGAATACAGTTGCCAGGTTTTTTTAAATCTCGGTGGACAATGTGATCTAGCCTGACTTCTAGTCTGCTGCGCAGTTCATCTGGAGAGAGGTGGGAATTTTTCCTTCTAGTTATAGAGGCAGGAGAATGATTATTTTTTTGTAGTGGTCACCATGTAGATATTTTTTTCTTGATGTAAACTTATGAAGAAACACTGATCTATCAATTAGAAAATGGTAAGGAGTGGTATGGTGGTAACAGCAGTGACCCTTTCCAAATCAGTATACCTCAAAAATCACAGCACTTCCCTTAACTCCCTTGATCTCCTTATAATAAATAGATGCTGCTAAACTTAATAAGCATTCCCTTTTTCCCACACCAGGTGAAGCTGTACATCTTGCTCGTGATTTTGGTTATGTATGTGAGACAGAGTTTCCTTCCAAAGCAGTGGCCGAATATCTAACTAGACCACACATGGGCCGTAACGAAATGGCAAACAGGAAGAATATGCTTCTTGCTGCAAAGTAAGTTTGGGGCTTGGGACTTTTTTTTCGTCTTTTTAAAGATGCTTTTGTATGATCATGAGTACCTATGACTGGGTGAATACAGTAATTTTCATGTGCAACTTTAATCTGGGAATGTTTTTTTTTAATTTGGTTTTGGTTTGAATTCAACTATGACAACTTATTTTATCTGAACCAGTAATAATAATAACAACCCTGGATGACAACTCTAAAGCAGTTTGGACTAGTTCTGTCTTTTTATTCCTTTTAACAGTAGCAAAAACTTAAGGAAAAAGTCCTATATACTTAAGGAAAAAGTCTTTAGCTATATCTTTAGGGGAAAACTGTCCGTAAGTGTCCCAAGGTGGAGGGCCTGTAGAGAGGTGCAGCCTGGAAAAGTGAGGCAGTGTCAGGACTGGGAACAGGAGCTGGTTCACCCCCCCTCTGTGTACGTGCAGCCCAGAGGGGCACCTCCAAGGAGAGTTACTGGTGGGCATGCTGGATGCAAGGGAAGCTCGGGACCTGTGTACTCACAACTGCTTCTGGCAGTATCAGCACACAGGTTTCTCCCATTGGGCCCTTAAGAGTCAAGAGTCATGGGTAGTCCCTTTTTGGGGAAGTTTGGCTGAAGTTCTTTATAGTTCAGTGAAAGCCAACCTTTGGTAGATGTGTCATTGTGCTTAACTAAATTCCTTCTACAAGCCTTGATAAAGAGGAAAGGCTAAGGGAGAGAAGATGTTATGGCTGTTCTACAGACACTTGTAACTGTAAACAAACCATGCACTGGACAGGTCTTTGGTAGGAAATATCTGTGTTGGGTTATGCTTGTCTTAAACCAGTGGCTGGAGTGCTTGCTGTCTTCCCAGGCTGAGGTTTAACAAAGCCTTCAGTTCACAATCCTTTCTGGTCTGAGATGTCTGTTTTGGGGTTGATGTAATTCCTTGCTTTTGAAAGCACGCTCGCTCTGCAAGAGTCTCTGAGAAAAGCCTGTCTAAACTGTTGAATTGCCCTGAATTTGGACTTGGATAAGGCATGAAAAACACACTCCTCCTGGTGTTGAATTAATCCAGCCTTCCTGAAAGAGGTCTTCTTTTACAAGATATATCCTATGTAAAGGAATATTTATCAGAAATTCAGTTATATAGCACCTCTCTTTCCTATAGCTTGAACATCTTGCTTTTTACTGAGCTCTGCTCCTTCTGCTCCTAGTATTTTCATTATTGGTTTTGTTATTGGCACTGATAACAAGAATCTTTTTTGGAAGACGTTTGTGATTGACAAATTCTGATAAAGTGATTCTGTTAAGATTGCTCAGCTCCTGTGAAATCTCATCAAGGGGACAGATTTGTAAGCAGCAAACAACATATGCTTGAGCGTTATTAACCATTCATGTTTTGCCAGGCATATGTGTTAGTGTTTGCAGGATCAGGGCCCAGGTCTCTCTTTAAGAGGGTGTATATGTGTAATGTGCATAACTGACTTGAACATTCTATTGAGCTGCTTTAGTCTTTCTAAATCATTTAACTGCAGCTGTGGATGTTCTCATAGAAACTAGTCCTAAATTCCCACTCCCCCCTTGAAATCTAGAGCAAATGACACAGAGCCAGCCAGACACCAGAGGTGGAGAGATTATTTTGAGGAGTCTGTGTGGGTTTAGTGACATAAATATAACAGCAGGCTCATCAGGAACTGGTGCTAATAAATAGGCTTATAGACACTGTCGCTGATGGAGTAATGAATTTCTGAAACCTCTTAATTCCGCAGAACTGCCAAGTACTTGCTATGGATTTTCTGTTGGTTTTCTTTATTTATTTGCTTTTGCATAAATTCTCATCGTGGTGTAAAGTGTGATCACTTTGTGTCTTGCAGGCAGATCTGTAAGGAATTCACAGACCTCCTCACTCAGGACAGAACTCCTCTTGGAAACACGAGACCTAGTCCCATCTTGGACCCTGGCATCCAGGGCTGTTTGACTCATTTTAGCCTGATCACGCATGGCTTTGGGAGCGCTGCCATCTGTGCTGCCATGACATCCGTCCAGAACTACCTAAATGAAGCATTAAAAATAGCAGACAAAACATACATGAACGCTGGCGACCAGAGCCCTGCAGAAACCAACAAAACCATTGATAAAATGGATAAGCACAGGAAGTAAAAGGAGGGAAACCAGACTTTAAACTCTTCCTCCTAAGCACAGACTGGGATCTTCTTGCCAGGGGGAACGTAGAAATTTGGTTTTTTTGGTGGTTTTCTTTTTCTTTTTTTTTTCTTCTTAAAGAAAAGAGGGAAAAAGGGTGGAAAAAAATTCATCTTATTCAGGATCATCACTCTTCCTGGATCCATGAGACAAGTCTTTCTAAAAGCTGCAGTATCCCTTATCTGTGGAAGCAATTACCAGAAGATAAGTACTTGGTACAAGCGTCTTGAAATCCTTTGCTGTAAAAGTGGTGCTATAAAGGGGTTTTGATGGAAATATACAAAGAGATATATTTAGATTTCTTTTCCACATCTAAGTATCTAGTGGTGACCAGGTTCATGTATAGTTTTTATGATGCAGATTTTAGATGGAAGCCTATTCGTTATCTGATACAATTTCAGGGTTTTATTCTCTCTAAATGCAACAGTAACAATAAAGCAGTATTAAACAATGATATATAGATTTATGTACATTAAAAGTTTTTATAAACACCTGAAAATAGTAAGATTATTCTGTGGGGGGTTTTGTTTTTTTTTGTAGTTTTTCCTTTTTATTTTCACATTACCATAGGAGAGTACTAAAATCCTGCTCAACTTAAAAGTTACCTGATGGCATTTGACATGCTGATTTTTATTTTTTTTTTTTTTAATGGGAATATTCAGGCTTCATTGCTGCAGCAATTTTTTGCTGCAGTGAATCTTATCTTGACTTTATTCTGTTTTTTAAACGAAGAATAGTTCAGAATGAAACTGCTTTTAGGAAATTCTGTGTTGAGGACATTGCAGCTTTATTGACATATTTATATTGTTTTTAAATTGGGGCGAGCTTGAAAGAATAGGCACATAACTCTTTTGAATATTTTCTTTTTTTTGCCTATTAAGGCCAAAAAACTTTCCAGGGAGGCTTTATGTGTATTAAGGGGAGCAGTGTGTTGAATGTAAATATTTATTTATGTGTAATTTAATCGGATTTGTAAATAATGGTGAACTTTTTAATACTTTTTGTTTTTATAAATGGGTTTCAAATGTTAATTTTGGTAAGTATTTCAAAGGTAATGGGTAAGCTAAACATATCTTTAGGTTTATGCACAGGTATGTTATACAGGGTATTTAAGACTTTTTAATATCTCAATTCTTGCCACTGAAGATTAGATTTAATCTGAGGTGTATGCTCACAAAGCAAAAATTTTGTGGATCATTCACCTGGTAACTGACTAAACATGCAAAATGAGTGTGTGAGTTAGTGTGTATGTGAATAATGGAGGTTCTGAACTCTCTTTACATATTTGTAAATGTTCCCAATATAATTCTGATGTATATGATAACCATATAATAAAAGTATTCTGGATAGAAGCATGGAATGTTTTGTTAACTGAAACCAGTTTTCTTTCTATACTTTGGGAATGTGGGGCGAGCAGCACTAGAGGACATTATGTATTGAATCATAATTGCAGCACTTTGTTCAGATTAACAGAACAGAAATATGGAGCTGTTTGCCAGTAAAACTGATGGTTTCAATTAAACATGTATCTCCAAGAATCTTTTTTCTTAAGATGTCACTATCATGCAGGCTGCCTATTTAAACAAGCAGCTTAAACACAAACTGCAAGATTGATCTCGCCTGCTTTGTTTTCTGATGAATCTGACTTTATTGTCTCCTATGACAAATATTTGCAAAGTCCCGGGGTGTGAGATCTGACGTCTCTCGTCTGCTTTCAGCCCAGTTCTGCTGATTTGAGGAAGTTCACAGCGTTTTGTAGAAAGTCCCCAGTGTGCTCTGTGTGGTAGTGGGGAGGCAGAATTTGAGGCTTTTGGTGGCATTTAGTGCCTTGGATGTAAAATAGCCAAACAAACCCTCCTAAGGGGAAAGGGTGGGTTGCTTCTTTTTTTTTCTGGTCCTTTCTGAAAAACCAAGACCATGAACCTGGGCTTCAGCTTGTCCTTGGCATTTGAGTACCAGGTCTGTCAGGAGTGTAGCTAGGACAAACATTAGGAATGGTGATGCTGGACAATAACTGTGAGTAAGAATTTGGTTCAGGTTGTGGCAGTGCGTTTCTTTTGCAGACATGGAGAAGAGGCAATATGTGCCATTTCTGATGACTTGGTTTATAAATTTTTATGTTCTTTTTTCCTTTAAAGGATAAAGGAAAATGACTGAAGGTGCACGGGGTGGGGGGAAAGGGAAGCTCAAAGAAATGAATGAATATTTTGGTGGTGAGCAAGGAGGAAGCTAGCTTTTTTGAGCTGCAATCCGGTCCCCTTCTCTCCTAAAGAGGTGTGAAATTCCAGTCTTTGCATTTGTTAGGCTCATTGTAGCATTTGAGAAATAAGCACTTTGGACCATCTGTAGACACAAGCGTAGCCAGGACATGTGATGTCTAACAGAACTTCTAAAATATACGAATTACACCATTCTGTTTGTTTTTATTGATTTTTATATATATATTCTATATATGTAAATATACATAGCATACATATATATAAATACGCTAGGTATGGGAAGAGTTTGTTTAGAGAATATGATGCTAGAGTTTTGCTTTTTGTTGGTGTTGTTTTCCTGTTTCTGCTGCTGTGCTGCTTATACAGCATATACAGTAAGAGATTTTAGCTACCAGACAATGGAATCTTGCTTTTTATTAACGCATAAAAGCAGGCTCTGAAATAATTGCCCCTTGGGATAGGAAATAAGGATGTTTCCATTTATTCCTGAGTGCATTCAAGCAAAGCCAGTCAATTGTCTAATGTACTGACTCAGGTTCTATTTATATGTTTGGAACATCAGAAATGGTGAATTTCCATTACCTTAATGCTTTTCCTCTACTGTATATTTTAGATGGTACGTTATTTTGAGGCTCGACTACCTTGTAAGCTGTGTCAGTAATACGAAACAAGAACAATGTCTTCTGCTCCATTCACTGAAGAGAACAGTAAAACTCTGACCTGAACTTGTCTGTCATCTGAGATGATTAAACTTAAAGTGCTGCTAGGTTAGTAACTTCATGGGAAATCTGAAATGCACAAAGTTATCAGAACACACAGTTTGCTTTTTCCTTGATGCTCAAATTTTCTTTCTTTTTACTGCTTTTACGTAGGCTATTCCTGGGCTGGCTTGAAAGTTCTAAGTCAGACTCGTGAAGTTCCATTTTTAATTTCCTTTAAAAGTGTAATATCCACATGACTGTCCAATCTTGTCCTTTGCCCTTCTCCCAGAAAAGTAATGGGTATGGTCTTTATGTGATGGAAAATTACTTTAAGCTATTAAGATTTAAAAGTAAAAATTCTGCATTTGAAATGGGCCACTCTAAGTGTTGCCCTTCTGCAAAGATGTTGTTTGATACATGTGCACAAAATAGCTGAATTCATGTCAGTATAAAAATGGAAGAGGAAAATGTGTTGACCATCTCTTGCCTGGCCATCGGAGGATGCCAGGGTCTGCCCCTGGCACTGCTGGAACCATGGCAGGCAGGAATGCTGCTTCCTTTCACCCATGACAGCTAAGGGCATGGCCTTTGGAATCCTATCACCTGACAGGCAACCTGATGGGTACAAATTATTAATGGCAAAGCTGATGATTATTCAAGACCCTGGCTCATGCGACCATCTGACTTCACAGCAGCGTTGCTTTCAGTTTAAAAATAGGTTTTTCTTAGTGTTTGCAGCTGCAGAGAGACAAAATGACACAGAACTAGTAATATATAAGAAAACAAGGAAAAAGAAGGAGCTTCTTAATAACTGCTTTCAGTGAACTTCGACTGTTTTTGCTTTGCTCTTTGCTCATTTCATTGTTATTTACAGTTTGTCTCCCCCTGCCTCTTGTCTGAAGCCTGACTGGTATCTGTTCCTCTGCTCCCTCAGACTTTTGCAATACAAATAAACCCAGCAATGCATCTTGAAATGGGTCAAGCCTGCTGTGATAGGCTGCCATGCTTATTAGTTGTGTCCCTTCTCTTCCCCCCCCCGAGAGATTTAGGTGTATCCTTGTAGTTATTTTGGCCTTGGCAATGGGCTTGGGGTGCCTTCTGGAACATGTTCTGCAATGAGAGCTTCATTGTTTATTACTAAGAAAAAAAGAAATAGGGTGCTGTTAAGATTTTGTTCCAAACCTGTTATTTCACTAAAAACATAAAATCATAGAATAGTAAGGGTTGAAAAAGACCTTAAGATCAATGAAGTTAGAACACGAGGTTAGGGACAAAGGTGCTTCCCTCTCACAAAAAGTAAGTTTTGAAGCATAATATGCTTCCGTTCATTGACATTTGCAGATTTGTATGGGGAACCTAAAGCCTGTTTTGCTGAGCACTCTGGGGTTCTGTTGGGATGATGACCCAGGCCTGGTGGTGGTGAGCCACAGGATGCATATGGAGCCATCCAACCGAGAATGGTTTCAACCCCAGGGTTGTTATCTCGCAGCCAGACATAACCATACCCTTCAAAATCTGCGTTTTCCAAACCCGTTGTGGTCTGTCATGATGCTTCTACAGTGCCTGGCTATTGCTGCTGCCTGTTGCCTAACATCACATTATCCAAGTAGCTGTATGGATGACCGGCTCTGTCCAAATCACACAGGGCCTGCACTGAAACCGTATTTCTAACACATTGCAATATTCTGTTGTGTATTATTTGCTGCCTTCTCCCTCTTTCATTTTCACTTTCTCAGGGTTATATAAGCTTTCCTGGTTTCAGATGCCACTTTGCATTCATAGGATATTCTTTAATGTCTTACAAGGATGGTCCAGCTGGTTTACATGTGCCATTGTTGTGTAATGGCTGGCTACAACTACTGCATTTTTCGTCTCTTTTGGCTGAACAGCCCTTTTTAACTGGTTCTTGTGAAGGCTTTGCTCACAGGCTACTACTGCTCCATGACATGTTCCCTGAATATTACATTTAATCTACAGTTTTACCCATAATTCAAAATTGAAAACATGTAACCATACAGTCACTTGCTCTCTCTGCCACAAAACCCAGGCATTTATTCATGAATTAACAGAAATTTCACTCTGAACCATGAACAAAATAACAGAAGTGATCTTTTAGGTGAGTTTTAGAGTTTGTATTTCCAAGGTTAATCAGCATAAAACTAAGGGAAAAGTAGTTTAAGAGGATCTGAAAGGTAGTGTTCTTCAGCTGATCACTGCAATTAAGAATCATTTCTAGTTAATTGAAAGAGTTCTTCAGTAACAACAGAAAGTGGTCTAAAATGATGCCAGCTACCTTGTTATAAAACACAGATGCTAAAGCATAGAGTTTGCAGTCCTCTAACAGGGCAGTGCCCATGTGAGAGCCAGGGCCTCATGGTATTCTTCCCCTTTTGCACCACATCAGCTCCCTAGAGAAAGACAAATCCCAAACCATATGAACAGTGCAGGTTTGGGGGCATATTGAGTGGAATGCATTACCTTTTGCCTTTGTAAGGTGGTAAGATGTCCTTTAGGATGTGTCAGGCTGTTGCACCTCTGCTTATTGCTGGAAGACCACAGACCTGAGGAAGCTACAAGGGCTGAAGGGGAAAACTTGTAGCCATGTGGTGCAGCCTGGCAGGATGAAACTGAAGCTGAGCTGAGTGCTGGACTGCGAGCTGGAGCAGCTGGGATGGAAGCACATGTGTTTTTGTCTCTGCCAGAGAAACAGTAATTAACCTCCAGGAGAGGGGTAGGGTGCGTACCTGGGACCAGTAATTCTCTTCAGCTCTTGCAGCAAAATTTACTTGAGCTCATTTGTCAAGCTTTGAATCCTTAAATCTATAACTCTAATTAATTAGGAATCTCTAATTACCCCAAAATGGTGCTCCGTATTTAAGGCTAAGGTGTGGTGAAACACAGAGAAAACACAAGAGAAGCTGGAGGATGTTCAGAGCTGGAGATGCCAGGAAACCATTCAGAGATCATGGTGCACATAGGTGCAAAGGAAGCTGGATGGCTCAATGGGTCAGTGAGACCTAACACAGATCCTAAACTGCCAGAAGCCACTGTCCGGTATTTGGACATCTATCCACACATGCCCTAAAAAGCAACGACCACCAAACCTCTTAGCAGGGGGTTCTTCAATCGGAGACCCAAAGCCGAGTGACCTTTGGCATTTAAGGCCAAATCTGGGTATTTTCTATATTCAGAAGCACATTAGACAAGGCTCTGATTCTTTGTAACCTCAAACAAGAAACCCCAGTGGGGACAGTATTGGAAACATCAGTGCAGATGGATTCTGGCCCTCTCCTCGTAAGATGAAAAAGCTCTTTCACAGTTGAGGTCTTATTAAGTTAAAAATTTATAGCTTTTTACTAGGCTGTAACCAGTTAATGTGACTCAGACAAAGATGTAATGTGAACAGAGGCATTACTTAGAGCTACCATTTTTGCCTTACTGCAGAGGTTCCTCTTCTCCAGACCTCACACGCAAGTTCCTAGAAGCCACAGCTGAAGCACATTTAAGAATTAGTCTGTGAGCTCATTTGATGAAGTGAGGGGGATCAGCTGGGGTTTGGGCTGATTGGCTTCAGCAGTGCAGTAGGCAGAGGTTTGAACCACTTCTTTCTGAGCAGTTTTGGGCTGTGGCTCCTTCCCTAGGACTTGCCAGCACCATCTCTTCAGCAAAGGTAAGGTTTCTTCTTCCTGATAATGGCGTGTACAGTGACTGCAGACAGGGTACATCTGCATGTGGATGGGGTCGTTGTGAAAATGTTAAAGGAAGAGAAAAATTATGCATGCTTGTATGTAAAGAGTAGGGTTGCCCCTTAAGAGCCTCAAGTACTGTTTTCTAGTTCCAATGGTAGGGAATCTTTGTATTGTTTGGTAAATAAAAGCCTGTACTTAGTGGCTTTGTTTGGTGGAAGATAAAAAGTTGATAAGATCCTGGTAAAGCTGTTGTGAGGAACTCCTATTAGTTTCCCTGTGGAGAGTGTTTCTAGGGATTCACTCCAGCAAAACTGCTAGACTGGCAGAAGGATTCAGAGTCATCAGTGATCTCTGTTAACGTTTGAAGTAAAAGTGATCTCTGCCTGGTACTTTTCAGGTCTTGTGTGATTGTGGTGTTGAAAAGCACCAGAAGTGTAGCTAAGATCAATCCTTTTTTCGTATTTGCTGTGAGGTATTCAAGGCAGTGAATTGCATCAGAAAGGGAAAATGAGAATGAGTCGCTAGGTGCTAGCTAAAAGGGTGAGAGAAATGGGTTAAGTCAATTATGGGATTTCCTCTCCATTCATTTTTCCCAGGTAACTCAAGATGTGTGGCGGGAGCTCTACTTTCTACTTTCCTCTACGATCAGGTGTTTGCATTGCTTCAAATAGTAACTGTCTGGGTTGGTCAGGGTTGATGTTCTCCTTTGCTGCTCTCTTGGAAATACCGATGTTTTCACTCCCCTTGGAAGCGCCTTGCCCTTTGAGCCACGATGTGCAGGCAACGCCGGATGCAGGGATGCTCTGAACCCCGTGCACATGGGGCCCTAGGCTCGCTGCGGAGAGTGGGTCATGCCCGGCACCCGTGGGTGCTGACTCACAGCAGTGGGGGCCACCTACTGAATCACTGCCCGGCTCCGGCAGCTCCTGGCTCGCTCCAGAGGTCTCACAGCCAGTGCAGCAGGCCCCAGCCTGTTGGGGCTGGGAGATCTAAGGAGATCACAGCCGGGGCCAGGGGTGATATGGCCGCAGGCCATCATCTTACATAAACCCCATGCATTTGCATAATGTGTTTTACAAGATTAAAACTGAAGAAACTTTTTTTTTTTTTAAAGGGGCAAAAATAGGTGAAAGAGCTCCACACAAACGGGATATCAGAAACCTGTGGTTCCCAAAATGATTGTGCCCATAATTGGGTTTGAAATGATTTCACGTCAAATTTGCAACTCTGTCATTGTGTACTTGGGGAAAACAACCCAGAGGTAAGGATCATAAACAGAAAGTGAGTGTTGGACCAGTGATGGGGAAACTCATCCCCTTTGAAGAAGCTGTTTCTTCAAACCTGTTGGGTGCCACACATAGGAGAAAACCCTCCTTCCGCAGCAGGGCTGTGGCGTGGAGAGGGTTGCCAAGGCTTGTCGAGTCACAAACCCAAGGCGTTCTTACTTTGTTTAATTACAGTGGGTGACTCGGATGCTAATGCAGAGGTCAGTAAATGGTGTATGATCTCCAGCAGCACCTTACTCGAAGGAGTGAGTGGTTTCGTGCAAAGGCCACTGCATGGATCAGTCTGCTGATGACTTGTTGCACAGCTGTATGTGTCTCCTGCACTGGGTTTACTGCGGCCCATAAGAGCTAATCCAACACAAGTTCTTTAGTGGAAAAATATGCGGGGGGGTGGGGTGGTGGTGGTAAAAAACCAGGAAACTGCAAGTCTTGGACATTGTCTCTGCTGTGATGCATTAGGAAATGTTGGTTGGTGGTTGTGAAAGTCTGATAAATACCCCAGAGTGTAGCTGTGGCGGTGAACATCCTTAGGTACAGCTGCTGCATCCAAAGAAAGTAGAGCAGAGAAATTTGCCACTTTGGAAAGGGTGGAAGGCAAGACATGTCTCTTCTGGCTGGTTGTAAATGTGGAGTTGGATATTCAATCATCTGCTCCCCTTAAAGTGTGAAACTTAGGGATATGGGGCTCCCAGGCTGTGGTAGGACAGATGCTCAGCTCTCTCCCTGGAATGGTGTGGCCAGGCTGGGCAGTAAAGCTGGCTGGAAGTTGTTTTCAGCTGTTGCTTAAGGAACTGGCTATGATTTTAATAGCTGGTTTAAGTGAACCAACCAAATTGCTTCCAGCATAGCTCCATCCTTGAAGGTGATGAAGAGATTTGAATGAGAGGCAGTATTGGGTTTCCTGAGAGGCTTTGTTTTAGCAGGGTTTGGTTTACTAATCCCTCACTCAACCACTCCCTGCAGGACTCCCAGAATTGTGGTCTTCGGCTTTTCCCTAGGACTTGGCAATGGTGTCCGTGGCTATGCCCATGTACATGGGTATATTCATATCTCTGCAGAGGAAAAGGCAGTGGCAGCTGCTTGCTCTGGATGCAGGAGATGGATGTAAACTTGTGTCTTCTTGTTACAGTGAGCTACATCTGAAGTATCTATGGTCAGGTTGAGCACATATTTAGGGCCCCTAACTGTTACCGAAATAAATGGCAATGAAATACCTGAGCGCTTTGCAGATCAAGAAGACAAAGCAGCAGCTGCTTGTCATAGGAGAGTTGTGAAGGGTGTGAATGGGCCTGTGCTGTGGTCCTGAGGTCAAAGTGCTATGGACAGGAAATCTGTACTGTTAGCGTGGATACTGTAAAGTGATTGCACAAGGAATGAGGCTCGTATCTGGTGGAAGAAAAACTCCACTTTTTATCTATCTATCTATTTGTTTCTCTCTTCTCTTCTCCTCTCCCCTTCCACATCTTGTGAAATAAGACTCAGAATTACAAGTCGGGGGGGGGGGAATCTCCTGCCATGTACCAAGGTGTTAACTTGGAAATGGGAAAAAAGAAAATAAGCATATTGAATGGAAGAGTAGCTCCATGTCTGTGTTAATGTGGCTCGTTTAACTGGCAAGAGTCTGTATATATGTTTTTCTGCTTCTTTCCTCCCATTCTGCCCTAGGTTTTATTTACCTGTCTTTTGAAGTATGTCCCTGTACAGATCCAGGATGGACTTGTGTGACTGTACTGCTGTTAGCAGAATGATACAAGAAAAGCTGACTTTTCTTATTGTTCCTACATGCAGTTCCCTAAATATGGCCTGGATCAGTGTGTGTTTAGGGGTGTTAGAACACCTTCCACCCAGGTGGAAATGGTTACTAGATGATGTGCTGGAGCTGGGATGTTGTGGAATGTCCTCTCTTGGGACCTTAATGAGCCACATTACAATAACAAGTCAAGCAAGCCAGTCTGTGCTGTTGCTGCTGGGTGTGAGAGCTGATTCCTGGAGCTGGTCATTTGAGTTTGGCTGTTGAAAATCTCTTCTGTTGACTTTTGTGTCCTGCATTGATTTCTGAGGCTTGAAAAACCATCATATACAGGCAGCTCTAGGACCGTGTCCCAGGTACTTTTGTAGACAACAAAAGTTGTGGTTTCAAGCTTATCCAAAAGAAAAGTTTGAACGAAAGAAGGTTCTTGTGTCTGAGGAAGAAACCTAAAAACTTATGGAACCTGAACTGGGAAAATAATGGAAAGTGCTAAACTTCTTTCTCTCCTCTTTTAGTTCTAATTACTACAAAAGGTGAGTGCTCCCTCTGGCATGTGCTGGCTGACCTTTACAGTGCAAGGGAAAGGTGTCAAAGAATGTACACCCTCCTCAAAGATATGTACCTAACCCCCCTCCCCCCCCCCGAGGCCCAGCCTCTTTCTCCCATCAGGGTTAATATCCAGAGCCACCAGGGAGGTAGGAAATTGCATCCCTGAGGAGGGAAGAAGCTGAGGGTAAAATGCACAACTGCTCTTCCAGGCTGTGCCGATGGCAGCCTGGCTGTAGCGGGGCTGTTCAGGGCTTGCTGAGGGGAGACTTCTACAGTGTTTTCCAGCACAAGGAACATGTGAGCATTTCTGGTGAGTCACTGCTGGGCTAGAATACTGCCTGGGTTGAACCATTTTGTAAGCTCTGTAATATAGAGGTTATTCTTCCTGTTACTTCTCTTAGAAGCACTAACTTATTGTGACAGTGATGTTGCTAGCTGCTGCTATTAATCCAGCCTTCCTGGAGATGCAAAAATTGTGCTGTATCTGGGGTGAGATGTGCAGTCAGATTAATCCCTGCTCTGTAGTGAGCTGTTCTGAGTCGTGTCAAAATGCAGTAATGCTCGTGTTCAAGGGTTACAAACTGGGGAGGGATGTGACTGGGAGCCCCTTTCTGATTGCATTCCAGTGCTGGACCACATCACCTTATGATACAAGAGGGTTACTTGTCTTGGTACACCTTTGACTTTTCTATGCAGTCATGCATTTCTGATCCACGCTTCAACTTCCTGCCTCTTCAATGCAGCCCTTATCCAACCCTTAGCATCTCGGCAATTTTACCACAGGACAGCTTCTCATCCTCGGAGATGTGTGCTGGGTAGAATGCCGCCTTTCATGGCATGCTTTGTGTCAAGGGATAGAAAGAACCAGTTGGAAGCTTGTGCCTTGTTCTTGCTCTCCCAGTAATGGTGAAACCAGGGCACTGTGCTCCCTGAACCGCATCCCTCCACGCTCTGTCCTTAGCTGAAGGTTGTTCCCTGCCTGTGTTGGGAGAGCACAGCCATATGTGCAGCAGGCAGGTGCCCTCCTCCTCTCCTCGAAGCACCGGTGCAGTTTCTCATGTGCCATGGCCGGGAGCTCATTAACGGCAGTCCCGCTTGGGGTCTGCAGACCAGGGGTGCAGGCTGCCTGGCACAGATTGCCCCACATGTGATTATTTCCACACGCTCCCCATCAAAACAAACGTTCCTTCCGCATGAGCTCCTCTTCCAGCTCTCGGCTTTGAGGGTGGTCGGGATGGGTGTGTGTGGGGGGAACTCTCTTGCTGCAAGCCTACATGGATATGCAGCCATGTAGGTGCAGTCTGGTCTTCAAAGCAAAGAGTAGGGAGCAAGTTCTGATAGATTCAGCTATAATTTCCCTTCCAGTCTGAGATTCTCTCATTGGAGAGACTAAAGC